GAGTTCATTTGATCTCTTTTCCTGTTCACTTTCCTTTCTATTCGTCCTTCAACTTTATCGTTTTTCCTTTTTGTGGTTAAAACAAAAAAAAGGAGTAAAGAAAAAGAGTAAAGAAAAAGAGAAAGACAAAATTACATGAAAACTTTCTTGATGGTGGTAAATAAAGGAGGGAAAAATGGAGAAAAATGGAGGAAATGGAGGAAATGGAGGAAAATGAAGAAAAATGAAGAAAATGGAGGAAATTGAGAAGAAATTGAGTAAACGGGAAGGATTTTGAATGTTATTGAAATAAGATTTTCAGAAAATTTTAAATATCAACTAAAGCAGACATTGTGGGGAATGAAAAATTCAAGAACTTCCTGAAATTTCGAGAGTTTTTCACACAAAAAAAGTGGTTTTTCTCGAGAGGTGACCTTGTTTAGAAAGAGTGCTTGAAGAAGAACAAATTTGAGGATTGAAATGAAAAAAAAAGAAAAGAAAATAAAATAAAAGAAAAGAAGACAATACATTTTGATCGAATCGAAAAGGAAAACCGGTCAAAGTGAGAGAAATAGAACTTAAATGGGGGTAAAGAGGATGGAAAATGAGAGATTAATAAGGAAAGGTGTACAAGAAACAAAGAAACAAGGCACTAGAATGTTTTTTTGAAAACCCAAAACGAAAAAAATTGATTGAAAAGAAAAACTGGGGGCAGGCTAGTTTCCGCAACTTTTTTTGCGCAACAGGGTCGTTTGCGCAACTCACCATAACTTTCTTCTAAGCGGGCTAATCTTTATGATTTTGATTTCATTTTGTTGCACTTATTGAGATCTACAAAATGAGACCAAAATCATAAAGATTAGCCCACTTAGAAGAAAGTTATGTCGAGTTGCGGAAATGACCCAGTTCCGCAAAAAAAAAGTTGCGGAAACTAGCCTACCCCCAAAAACTGAATGAATTTTCTCGCGTTTTCGTTATTTATAGCTTTTAACAATGAGAATCAGGTATTCAGTTTATCGTAATTTTTCCGGATTTAGAAAACACCGTCAAACAGTGTCAGAAAACACAGTCAATTAAGAAAAACAATTGAAAACCCTAAAGAATATTCAGTCGTGAAAATTCAGCATACAATGCAAGGCTTACTGTGTCAATTCGGTATAGGATTTATAGTACTTTCTTGATTTATATTCTGGCTTGAGTTAAAGGTTTAAAGCCTTGAGTTAAAGGTTTAAAGCCTTGAGTTAAAGGTTTAAAGCCTCATAGTCAGTTAAAAACAAGAAATCTCTCCTAAAAGTTTCGTGAAAAGCTTCTTTTAAATCAGAGAAGAATTTCAACATTATCTTTCCCTAAAAAATGAGTGAAAATCGAGAAAAGTTTATCTCTTATTTCGGAAATGTTTTGAAGGAAAGTTTTGAGGAAAATTTGTGGAAAGGATACTAAAATTTTGCGACTTTTTCTTGGATTTCGAAACAGAAAAAAAAAGGTTTTCTCTGATTTGTGAAAGAGTGGAGAGTTTGGAGATTTTATGTATGAAAAAAACGAGTTGACCATATTGCAAGCGGAAATCGATGAAAGGAAAGAGTTTAAAAGTTCTGTTATGCTTTATGAACGAATGTGGACAAAAAGAAAATACTGTAATGCTTGTGGGATTACGGCATGCTTGGATTATGGGATTACGGCACCCTTTCTGCTATTACGGCATCCTTTATGCTACACATAAAAGTTCACACATTTTATATAGCCGGCAGTTTCATAAGTAGAGTGTTTTCCTCACGAGAAATGCGTTTTTTTAAAACGCACACTTGTAAAAATTACCGTGCTTTTAGCGAAAATTGCAAAAAATTGGCGCAAAAGCGAAAAAATCACGAACGTCAACTTATTAGGTTGGCCGGAAAGTTCTTTCCGTTTTTTGACGCTAGATCTAACTTTTTATTTTACGCATCAAAAACGCCAAATAAAAAAACAGAATTTATCTACTCGAAATATTCACCGTCAACATCAATAAGATCCTGTCAAATCAATAAGATCCTGTCAAATCAATAAGATCCTGTCACTTATCCGGCTACAAATAGATTCCGCGGCGGTAAAACTCACGTGGGCTTCGAATCGAAAAACTGAGTGAGTGACAAGCGCATTTCCTCGACGTTTTGAAAGATCTTTCCACGCAAATGATGCTCCAGAGACCTGAAAAACATGATAATCGGACGATTCTGGACAAAATGCCTGAACAGATGATAGTCCGATGGTGCGCTTGTGATCCAAACTCGTTCAATTTGCTTTTGGATGGGAACATTTGGATCACCCGCCGTACAGCCCCGAAATGGCACCATCGGACTATCATCTGTTCAGGTATTTTGTCCAGAATCGTCCGATTATCATGTTTTTCAGGTCTCTGGAGCATCATTTGCGTGGAAAGATCTTTCAAAACGTCGAGGAAATGCGCTTGTCACTCACTCAGTTTTTCGATTCGAAGCCCACGTGAGTTTTACCGCCGCGGAATCTATTTGTAGCCGGATAAGTGACAGGATCTTATTGATTTGACAGGATCTTATTGATTTGACAGGATCTTATTGATGTTGACGGTGAATATTTCGAGTAGATAAATTCTGTTTTTTATTTGGCGTTTTTGATGCGTAAAATAAAAAGTTAGATCTAGCGTCAAAAAACGTCAAAAAACAAAAAACAAAAAAAAAGAACTTTCCGGCCAACGTAATATATACGGCTTCTTAAAGATATTCAGCCGTTTAACTGATTTGGTGGGAAATTCCTTTCAAATGTAAAGATATTCAATTTACTCGACGTGTAAAGAGGATTACTCGTAGTTACTCGGCCAAAAAACGTCGATTAATCGAGTAAAAATTACTTATGCAGATTTTACTTGAGTAATTACTTACTCCGAAGGAAAACACTCTACTTTTACTAGTGTTTTCTAAGCTAAACTCATTTAAATTGGCAAATTGTGCAAAAAACAAGGGTTACTCGTAGTTACCCGATCAAAATCGAGATGATTAATCGAGTAGAAGTTACTCATGCAAATTTGACTGGTTGTGTTCCAAGTAATGACTCCAAATAATGACTTTGAACACAATCTATTCATAAAGGAATGCTTTTGGACTTACGTTTTTCAGAAACTCTTTCAAAGAAAACTCTGAAAAACGTAAGTCCAATCGGTTTAAACCACAATGAGCCCTAATGGAATGGAAAAGAGAACCATTCAATGATTGGTGATAAGTTCTATTCAGAGAAAGAGGCAAAGAGAGAAAAGTTCGTCTAACTAATGATCATTGTCTGACTGTCAGTTGAAGGAAAAGAAAAATATAATCGTTGAAAAGACAAGGTCAATTCATCCTCCCCACTCTTTACCCCGACTCCTTGGTGTTTTTGCTGTGTGTGACGTCACACTGAAAACTCAAAAAACTCAAAAAGTGAAATATACTGCACTGACCGTGTCTAAAGAATTTCTCGTTAAAGAGAAAAGATAAAACTAGAGATATTTGGAGTGTTAGATTCCAGGCCACAAAAAAAGTGTTTATTAATGTGCGGAGAGTTCAGCGAATTTTGCTCGGATTGAGTGACGTAAACTTGCGAAAAACGCCTAGAATTCTACCTGGTATACAATTTTAAAGAGTTTAAAATTGTAATTTTAATAAGTAATTTTAAAAAGAGTTTCGAAAAACTACAAAGAAATTGATGGAGAATTGGGCATTATGCATTTTTGGGGGTGGGACAAATGCGACCTTTTTTTTGCGCACCTGGACATTTGCGCACCTTTTTTTTGCTGGAAAAGGCCTTAGAGCTTCGAAAATGTTTCCATATAAGGGAATCGTATGCGTAGATTCCGAATTTCGACAAATCAGACCTCGTTGACACGTCAAATTTGGGCTAAAAGGCAAAAACTACGCAACTTAACGCTTTTCCCCAGTTTTTGCCTTTTAGCCCAAATTTGACGTGAGTGAGGTCTGATTTGTCAAAATTCTGAATCTACGCATACGATTCCCTTCTATGAAAACATTTTTGAAGCTCTACGACCTTGCCTAAGGCCTTTTCCAGCAAAAAAAAAGTGCGCAAAAAAAAAGGTCGCATTTGTCCCACCCCCGGCATTATGCATTTTTTGACTGCGGTTTTTAAACCGCGCGCTTTCGAAAAGTTACGGTAGGCTAAATACCCAATTTTCATTGATAAAAGCTATAAATAGCAAAACCGCGAGAAACTTTTCATTCTTCCCGTAGCAGGGTGGTGCTCTGTTGATTTTTTTGTGAAACGTTCTTGCTTTAGAAACTCACTTTTTGCCATAGTTTGATCAGTTAGTTCGCTTGTCTAAAAATTTAGTGACGAAAATGACCCTGTTGCGCAAAAAAAGTGGTGGAAACTAGCCTACCCCGTCAAAACGCGTAAACTAAACTAAACATAAATGTGACTTCAGCAAACGAACCCATTCTCGTGTTTTTTTTTTGCTTCTTTCCTCTGTATTTTTCCGTCTGTGTTAATTTTTTGGTACTGATAAAGTTGGGGATGCACTTTTTTTCGAGATTTTCATGTTTTCTCGGGTAATCACGGGCGAAAATCGCATTTTAGCATTAGTTTGCGTATTGACTCAAAAATGCGGGTAGGTTTGGGGCATAAGGGCGGGATTTATCAAGTTTGTCGTGTTTAATGTGGGCATACAAGTCCCTCCCACTTAAGTCATGATGTATAAACGTTTAAAATAAAAATGAATTCTTTGAATCTTTCGAAAAACTCATTTTCCTAACAAAAATGCGGCATTAAAAGGTTTTGGATGGCGATTATCGGACTCTATGCAACAAGTTACAACAATCACGAAAAAAATGGCAAGAATACGTTGATTTCGATTGCTTTTCTGGGGTTGGAAAAGTCAATTTGTAATACTTAAAAATGTGATTTTCGTGATCAGCTCCCGTGCTTACCCCAGAAAAAATAAAAGTCTCGAAAAAGGTGCCTCCCCCAATTTTATTAGTACCATTTTCATTTTTCAGGAACAACCTCGCGTTCTACCAGGATCAATGTCGCGAACTTGGAATCTCGACGCCCCCACATATGTGCCGATGGGAACGAGGCCGCCATTTGTAGAGAAGTCGACTGAGGAATTTCGAGCCTACCTCGAGGAACACGGAGTCACCGAAGCATTCACAAGGGCGTTGGTGCAGCTTAAGAAGACCGCGCCAGAAAAACGACCCGAAGAGCCGCTCGATTTCATCGCGCATCAACTCGGCCATTCGATGAACAACAGCATCGAGGATGAGCTGCTGAATAACATTTTGGAAGACTTCTTGGATCGCACGGATCAAGATTGGAAAACCGAGCTGATGTTTGGATGCCCAAGAAACGACCCGGAGTTGGTGGCAATTGCGATGCACATCATTCAGTCGGAGACTGGGGAAATGAATGAGGTGATGCCAACGAGTTTGGATCATTTTAACGACACTCAAATGAGGGCCCTTCAACGACAACTCGCTGATCTTTCGTTGAAAGCCGCTGTTCAACAAGACGGATCTTCACCAACTTCGGCCTCAACCAGCACTCCAAGACATGAGAAGGTCATCGAAAAGTCACCCCCAACTTCAATTTTTTCATCACCCGATTCTGGCATCTTTGAGCACAATGCTTCCATCGAACGCTCCACGAAATACTGGTCATCAAAATCGTTCGCCGCTAAAGACTTTGGAACTCTTTTTTAAATGTTTTAATTATATCTGTACCATGTGATATTGTACTTTGTTCATGTTTTTATTTTGTAAATTTGTTTTTTATTGATTCTGTAATGAAATGGTAAATTTTAGATGTCTGTGTCGATTCCATTCGTGGATCGATTTCTGAATTTGGAAGCTCGACTGAGTCAGCGCGTAAAAGCTTCAGATGTGATCGACCGTCTTCATTGCGTCTTCACGCCATTCCTTTTGTCGCTATCTGTCGTGCTCATCGGTACAAAAATGCATATGGGCGACCCAATCAACTGCATGTTTCATACGGACATTGACGGTGAGTTTAATTGAATATGTGCTGTTTTTTACTTAAGAGGGAAGCTATAGTATATATTAGTTCCGAGGACATTATTATTTGTTTTGTTTTAGGTTATGGTTCATGGAAAGAATACTTCCAACAATACTGTTTTGTGACCAACACTTACAAGTACAATTCGATTGCTTACTATGGCGGGGACTACTACATTGATCACCAATATGACACACGAGTCAACTATTATCAGGTCTTTCAATACGTCATACGTTAATTTGGTTCTCGTTTAGTGGATTCCATTCTTTTTGGCGGCTCAAATGGTAGCCTTCTGCCTACCTGCAGTGTTTTCAAACTGCTGCTTCAAAAAGACAAGCAAGTTTTACAATTCGACTTAATCATGATTGATTTTAGCCTTGAAGTTCGAAGACGTCATCAAGGCGGCCAAGTGTTATGGAGGAGCCATTGGCAATTCAAAAAAAGAATCCAAGCTATTGAAGTCCATCGCTGCTTATATGATCAACATACAAACCTACGAACGAAGCAGAGTGCGCCATTTTAGAATATAACTATTCTTATTGTGAATTTAGACTGACGACGTGTTTCAGGCTTGGTGTGGCTCCTTCCTCATTCGACGTAAAGCAACAATTGGATATCTCCTTCATAAGGTTGGTATTTCTTTTATGATCTACTCTATAATTTCGTTTAGGTACTTTGCCTTATCAACGTTGTCTTTCAAATGTGGGTGGTCGCCTTCTTTCTAGGTATCACCAGTTGGAAAATGGGATTCATAGTAAGTCTTGTCTTATATAAAGAAATGATCTTATTCTACTTAAGCAAGCAACCGCTATCTTTAATCCCGCTCTACGCAATAATACAGGATTCGGCGTCTTCCCAAGAGTGAGTTTTTATGAAATTATCTGAAGTAAGACATTTTAGACTGTGATGTGCCACACAGAAAAGTCAACGAGTGTTGGACAGGAATTTGGAGCAAAGCCCATTGGATACGATTTCGAGTGCCTTCTACCGGTCAACTACATCAACGAAAAGGTCTTCCTTTTCCTCTGGTTTTGGTTTCTCATGGTCGGTTTTTTCTTACTTATGTCAAAAAGAAACGAACATGCAAAAGGTTAACGGTTATTTTAAGCTTTTTATTCTCACCGCTTGCAATGTGTTTTGTTGGTTCTTCGTCTTCTTGTTCCCAGAATTCGGTATCAAGGGGCTCTTTGATGTATGTTTTTTTTTACAGAATCTTGTGTAAGATTATTTTAGAGGTCCAATAAAAAATTTGAAGAAGCTGACAAGCAAAGCTACAGGGTAGGTATATTTGGCCAAACTGATAGTTTATAAAATTTTAGGAATTCTTCTCCGGATTGGGCGTAGATGGTCGTTTGCTCTTTGCATTCATTTCAATCCATGCGGGAGATCAAGTCGCCGTCAACATTGTCGAGGAGATTTTGAAACAGTTAGTTTATTTTGTATTCTTTGGTGAAGTTTCGGGTTATCTTCTGGCAAGTTATTAGTAGACTTATTTTGAGGATGGCTGCAAAACGACTCGAGAAGAAAGAAAAGGACGATAAAGATGATCCCGAGGCTGGCAATATTCCTGACAAGATCTCACTTCATGATGATACGACCGAAGATACTCCACTCTTCTTCAAGAAATCGTTAGCCTGAAATGAATAATGTTTTTCGTGCCCGCTCTTTATTTTATTTGTTTCCTGTTTGCTAACCCTGTCTAGAAATGTTTATTTTTCATAAAGTTGTTTGATATCATCGACAAAAAATAGCGCACGACAGGTACCAGTTATAAGAAACATGACAAAAAACATACATATCTTGGCTAATATCTGAGAGAGAATGAGGATTGCAAAATTGCATTGCAGAATTCGGGAGTGGGACAAATGCGACCTTTTTTTTGCGCACCCGGACATTTGCGCACCTTTTTTTCCGCACCTTGCCCATTAGCGCACCTTTTTTCGTGTTTTAAAAAAGCTAGTATTAACCAATTTCTATTCCAAAAGTTGTTTTTCTAGGTAATTTGAGGGTGTCGAATTCAAATTTTGACATAACAGAGCTTGTGGAAACAAACGGACGGAGCTATACAAAGAGAAAAATCGACAATTTTCTGTAATTTGATCTAGTCGTTTTGTCTTTCAAATTGGTTCCACAAGCTCTGTTATGTCAAAATTTGAATTCGACACCCTCAAATTACCTAGAAAAACAACATTTGGAATAGAAATTGGTTAATATTAGCTTTTTTAAAACGCGAAAAAAGGTGCGCTAATGGGCAAGGTGCGGAAAAAAAGGTGCGCAAATGTCCGGGTGCGCAAAAAAAAGGTCGCATTTGTCCCACTCCCCAGAATTCATGTAAATTTTACAAAATCATTTTCAATTCATCCACTTTGTATTCCGTTTTATTCTCTGAAGAGTTCCTCGTTTATTTTTGTTGTTCCTTCTGCTCGACTAGACTCCAATGTGTCGCCCTCCCGATATCTTTTCTTTTCTCCAATAGGTCAGCTTTTTCTGCTGATTTTGCTGATTTTTTTTTCTGCTGATTGTGTTCTAATAGCTCTCAGCTGTCAATGTCAAAAATTTTTTTAAAGTATTTTTTACGATTTTGGATTGGAGTCAAACTGCTCTATAAATAACGGACAAAAGTGGTTCGAATGGTGTTCAGTTTTTCTTTAGAATCTGTAAGCTGAAGCTGTAAATGATCGAAAAATTCGGGATTTTTGATTTGTTCAATTTCCCCCACAAATTCCCCATGTCAATCTCGATTTATACACGTAAAGTCCTTGAAATTTTGGTTTTGCATCGGTGCGAGATGGGTGTTTTTAGGGGGAAAACGTTCCCAAAATGGCCTTTTCTTGAAAAATCGCTCAAAAGTCGGCAAAGCAAGAATTGAAGAAATTTGGAGAGTTGAGCCGGCCTTTTTTTTTTTGTTCAATATTTGAAAGATAAGAGAAAAGAGTCCTCCACACGTGTTTCCCTTTCCTTTTTCTTCTTTTTTTTTTCCTTTTCAATAAACCAACAGGGAAAAAAACAACTATTTCTATCGGTCAAACAATTTTTGATCAAGTTTTGGATCAAGTTTTGGTTCAAATTTTGGATTGCAAAAGTTATAATGGATTTTTTAAAAATTTTTTTCGCTGGTTTAAAGAAAAGATTACGATAAGCAAAGAAATAAAGGAAAGAAATAAAAGAAATAAATAAAACGGAAACAGAACACCGATTCGAGTTAGGATCGAACCTATCCACCTTTCCTTCCTACCTTTCCTTCCTACCTTTCCTTCCTACCTTTCCTTTCCACCTTTCCTTTCCACCTTTCCTTTCCACCTCTCCAAATCGATCTCACTAACCATTCAGCCGCACGTGGAAAGCCTTTTCTCTTTTCTCTTTCTTTCTATTTCATCAACATTTCCCTCATGTTGTTGTTTCCCGTGTGAAAGTGCATTTTGTTAAAAAAGGTCATGGGAGTCATTCTATTTGAAAGAAAAAAAAGAAAAAGAGAAAATTTTCTCGAATCTTTCCCTCTTTTCCCTATCTTAATACATATTTTGTCAACAAATGGAAAGAAAGGGCCAATTTTGACCACACTAGTTCCTCACTTTTGCTTTTTTTGCTTAAAATTTCGTAAACTGTTATCTATTGGCTTTTTATCAATCAGCTGAGTATTTAGACCCATCCAACGGAAAGCCTTCCATATTTTTGCGGATTTTGAACGAGAAAGCGTTTAAAAGCTTTAAAGCTTTAAAGCTTTAAAAGAAAATAGAGAATTTGATAGTTTTATCAAGAAATTTTATCAAAAAATTTTATCAAGAAAACTTTTTAAAGCTTCAATCAACTTTTCAAATATTTCTGTTTTTTTTTTCATTTTTCGGAATCATTAATCTTTTGTCGGGATTTTTAGAGAATTTCGTTGAAAAGCAGATTTGTTTTTTGGAGATCTTTGTGCACCAGGTGTGTAGAGACTAGAGTGTGCTCCTTGTTGACAGACAATTTGCCAGACAAATTTTCATTGACAACTTTTTTGTCAGACAATTGATCCGACAAACTTCCGACAACGCGTTTTCTAAAAGGTGCGCTTTTTTAGCAAAGCTATAAAGGTCGCGCGAAAAAAATTTGCCAACTTTCCTTAAAATATAGTAATGGATAGTTTTATTTAAGGATTTAGGTTTTTTAGGGCGTGAAATTTTTTTTTGGAATGGTTCTAGTGCAAATGTAGACAATAGGCCTGGTAAATTCGTAAATAATATAATTTTTTAATAGTGTTTCTTAACTTTTCCCGTTTTAAATGTTTTCTTTAATTTTAAATAGTATTTAAAAATTTTTAAGTTTTAGCGAAAGAGTAATAGAGTTAAGGAAAGAGTAATAGAGTTAAGGAAAGAGTAATAGAGTTAAGGAAAGAGTAATAGAGTTAAGGAAAGAGTAATAGAAAAAAAGAGCGCAATGTACATTTGCATTTGCATGTACATTTTAATGTACATTTGCATTTTGAAAAATTTGCTGATGTAAAGCATAGGGTTACGCTAGCTTATCCTTGGCGCGCGCTTTTTAGAAAACGCGTTGTCTGCAAGGAACACACTCTAGTAGAGACGTAAGGAAATAATTCCTTACGGTGAGGGGGAGGGGGAAATTGTGGTTAAGGAAGTAAAAGGTTAAACGTTTTGGATTAAATAGAAGCATCTTTTTTCAAATTCTTCATCATTGACATCAAAGCAAGAGTCTTTGAGCAAGAGCAAGACGCAAAAATCGATTAGATTTATCAAAATCTTGATCAAATAACTTTGAGAGCAAGTTCCTAGTTCAATGAGTTCTCTAGTCTAATCTAATTCTTCAATTTTCCCATTTCCCAGTTCATTAATCTAATTGAGCTCATTTTTTTCCAATTGGTGATTTTTAAAGATCGTAAAGTTCAGTGAGAGAAATGAAACAGGGAAAGGCGGGGCTTAAAGTGCATTCGATTACATTGGGATAAGGAGATCATTCAGGCTGAAAGGGATTAGAAATTTCGATTCTCAAAATCAATTTGAATCTTTTTAAATATAAATTTTGAGATTTTTCTTTCATCTTCATTTTAAAACTTTATCTTCTTTCAAAATTTTTGATTTTTGATTTGATTTGAATTCGAATTTTCTCTTGCATCACGTGCCTTTGCCTCTCTTGCATCATCTTCAACTCCTTTTAAAAATTCAAAATTTATATTTACAATGAAAATTGATCTTCTAGTGAATGTTGGACACATTGATATTTCTATTATTGATTGCTTTGTTGATTCTCAATTTGATGAGAAAGCTGAAAATCGAGTACGAAATGTTGGAGAGAGATCCGAATCGACAATGGAGGAGACAAGGTGAGTGGAAAGATAAGAAAGATAAGAAAGACAAGAAAGATAAGAAAGATAAGAAATATAAGATAAGAAAGATATAACAAAAGATAGAAATCACATTTAAATCCTGTTATAAATTCAAATGCCGTATTTGCCTTAATAGTCTGGCATGGCTAGAGGAGTGTCGCGTAGTCGTTGTTTTTCCACAATAAATCATTTTTTCTTGCAAACCTCTAGACCTCTTTTGTTCCTAAAAATGTTTTCTAAAAAATGTGTGCCTTATTTCTCTATTTATATCTAAAGGTATATTAATATATAAATAGTTTCTTTTTTCAGAATTTTTCCTCTCTCGAGATCTCGATTGTTGGCCTTTCGAGGATCTTTGGATCTATCAACCTCCATAAAAGGATGGTGATTCAGAAAAAAGACTGAGATCAACTCAAAACGTAACTTATTCTTATAAGTGCCGATTTTTTTGTTCTGTTTGGCCGTTTTCTTGGCAATCTCTTGTACATAAATGATCGGATTTAATCATTTTTGAGGGATTCTTTGTATCAAAGAGTTTTCTATGGCTTGAGTCCAACTCTAGGAAGATCTGGCATTTGTAATCTGAATCCATCAGTTGGAAAAACAGGAAGTGAATCTATTTTCAACTATTTTCAGCTATCTTTGAGCTGTTTTACGGATCCAGGTAATAACTGCCAGAGCTGACTCCGATTGTGACAATCGATCACAAGATAGTTACAGGTTTTTGGGTTCTAATAAGTTAACAATATACGAGGAATCATTTTATCAGTTATATGATTCTATTGGTTTTTGGAAGTTTAAGCTCTGGGAGTGGGGGAGTTCATAAACGCAAGGTATCTAGTGCACCTGGTTTTGGGTGATTTGGGTCTAACAACACTTAAGAAAGAGAATCTTCGATAAAAAACTAACTGCGTTCAATTTTGGGGATTTCCTTAAGACTTTTCTATTTATATCCAATCAAACATGGGGTGATATTTGTGTGATTTATTTTTTTTGTGCCTTTTCTCTCATTTCCTTTTTATTTTTCTTTTCAAAGACGGGTAGTCCATACACTTTTTTTATGCCTTTTTGTTGTTTTTCTCGTTCACTTTCTGCACGTGAATAAACGGTGAATAAAATTTAAAAGATTTTTGCAGAATTTTTGAGAAAAACACACAGAACACATGTTTGATAAGGGGAAAATTGTGTGATAGTTGAACTGTTGCCCACTTGGGTGAGAGAGAACAATGATCGGTGGATTTTGGTGTCAAAGACAGAAAGGTGATCTCTCAATGACCACAAGAAAATGGAGATCAAGTTGTTGGCTCTCTGATTTGCATTTACAGGGTTGAGCAAAATTACTTGTGCACTTCTCAGCAGATTACTTGCCAAGCGCCACAATCAATTCAAAAACCCTAAGTGTTATATAGAGAATTGAAGCCAGAATTCTTGCCGACATTTCTGTACCAAAAAGTCTTCGATTAAAGTTTCGCAACCCATTTTACAGATCCTTAAATGAGCCCAATTCGATTCGTCTCCGGGACGCTGTCATTTGTGGCTGTTTTCAAGCGGGGAAAGCGGGGGGCAAATTTTGGTACTTTGATGCGTGGAAGCCACTTTTATCATGGCTTAGTTGGATCTAATGTTGAGTCGTTGTTTTGATACCTTTTATCTACCCATTCTAGGGTAATCAAATATGCTTATACTTTTAGAGCATTTACAACGTTTCAAGTTTCATATCGCCAGATCTTATTTGATCTTCAAGTGTAAGCAGCTTTTTAGGTGGCGTTTGGTGGTTAAAGTACATGAGATTAGGCTAGAAAGCCAAAAGCTTGCTAAAATAGTCACCAATCTATTAAGCATATTTGATTACCCTATAATAGATAAAAGGTATTAAATACAACCACTTAAAACATTAGATCCAACTAAGCCAGGATAAAAGTGGCCCCTCCCAACCACCAAAGTACCAAAATTTTTTTCTCGCTAAATGAGCTGATTTTTTGTACCCAGAGGTTTTTGACTATGCTGAATTGATTGGTGATGGTTTCACACAAGATTTCTCAACTTTTAACAACGCTTATAACAAATAGCACCGAAAATTACAATAGCAACATGTCAACAAGTTAAAAACGAGGATATGGCCTAAGACAACGGGTACTTTTTGGCCACTTCATTCCAGAATAAGCATTAGGTTTTTAGTACATTAGTTATAAACATTATTAAAAGTTGCGAAATGTTGTATGAAACCATCACTAATCGATTCAGCATGGTCAAGGACCCTGGGTACAAAAAAGTCAGCTCATTTGGCGAAAAAAATTTGACCCTCCAACTACTAGAGCCCCATGTTTTGTTTAACCCATTCGAAACCGCAGCGTTTTTTCTTTTTTTTCGTCTACGGACCAAGCCCTTTTTTGACATTTTTGACTCCGAAGCAGTTTATTTATGGTTGGAAAGATGTAAGAGAGTCTCCTACACCATTTATTTTTGATGAAGAACGATTTGGATTTGACTTCAGTACTTTTCAAGATCCTATCGATTATTGTTCTTATTTTATCGACGACAATATTTTAGTAGGCGAATCTAATAAACATGGAAAAAGGAAAACAAACTGGCAGGATTTCGATGCAAAATCTTTCAAGCTCTTCCTGGCTTCAAATGGGAATCGTCAAATTACCGAGGATTCGTGACTACTGGAGTAGCAGGCCTGGATTAGGAGGATTTTCCCACATGTCCCCATTATGTCAAGAGCAAAATTTGAATCTATTCTTCGCAACCTGCGTTTTTGTGATAATGAACTGGATCCTGCAGGAGATCGGCTTTATAAGATTAGAGCTATTATGGAACATTTCAATGCAAAACCAGAGACTGCATTGATTCCGGGTAAATATGAAACATCTTTTTTGCCCACGTAATTTGTAGATCTGCTACAATTGGAATATACATGTAATGCTGAAAAACAGCAAAAAAAAGCAATTAATTGAATGAAAATAGCTCAATTAGCACTGCAGCGGTCCGTTCCTGAGTTTTTGTTGCAGCGATTATTCGCTGCAGAAGTTTCGAATGGGTTAATATCTAGACTATTGGCCCTTGATTGTCTATCTTTTTACACGCACCTTATCGTTTGTTCAAACCATTTGTTGACTTGTATTTTTAGTGATGTACACTTGGAAACGTAGCCAAAAACCAAACGAAAACGACCGGGACCAAGTCGACAGAGGCGGTCGAGAAGGAGGAGGACGTGGACGAGGCAACTTCCGAGAAGGCGACTCCAGATGGTGGACGAGGTGGCGGTCGGTGGTGTGGTGGACGAGGTGGCGGACGTGGAATTCGCGGAGGGAGAGGAGGCTGGGGAGGAGATCGAGGTGGTTGGGGAGGAAGCCGTGGACGATACGATGATGCTCATCAACGAAACCAAGATGACGGCGGATCCGAGAGAGCCAGCATCCCCAACCTGCAGCGAGCGAAGTCACTCTCAACGGATTCGGATCTAGCCGAACGCATGGAATGTCTTAGTGGTATGGCTTAGGTGAACTTTTAGAGATTTAGATCCTTGAATAGTATGAGGCATTAAGTCTTGCTTAGTTTAACTTGTCATAATAATCTATAGGTTTATGCTTAGGTTTAATAAGGAGTGAAATCAGATCATTCAATAAGATTTGTTCAGAGGGATTTGTTCCTTAGCTAGCAGCTGCGTAGTTAAGATTATTGTATTGTAGCCACCTAAGCAATCAGCGTTAAAAAAGCGTAGTGATTTTCAGATACAATTTTCTTATTTTAGTTTCGAGCACATCCGACGGAACAACGACTTATTCCACAACTGAAGAGGAGGTGCTCAGTGTTGTCTCGGAATCTGAGTTCAAGTCTAGCAATTCTCAACTCGATTTGCTCTCGCAAGGCGAAGCTGCCGACCCATTTGCTCCAATTGTGTACGCAGAGAAGATTCATCCACGGATTGAGCCAGCTAACCGAACTGGAATGGAAGTGGTGAGAGTTAACGTTTACATCATTCAATTCTCTTTGTTGTTTAGGTGAAGCTTGCAACAAACATCTTTCCAATTCGTACCGATCCAAATCGTGAGGTCTACCGCTACGACGTGAGTGCTGACTTGGTGACGGGCGTTGAAACAAGAAACAGGAATGGAGGAGTGATCTCAATGAATCGAGGACCAAAGGATGAGTAAGCAGTGCTTTTATTTTTGATTCCAGCCTTCTGATTAAGTACGCTGATGACTCGTCGTTCGGAAGCAGTTCGTGCCGCTCTCAAAGCGGCTTTGGAGGCTTATCGTATTCTCAGTGAAACTGGTGTGACAGTCTTCGATGGAACTACTATCCTTTTTTCAAACAAAGACCTCGCTATGGCTCTGAAACCGGTTTGTTTATGGTTTTCGTCACATTCTGATTTGTTATTTAGCATAATGGCACTCTCACTCTGCCTGTGGCACAGCTCCATCCAAACATCAGGTCCATCCTTGTTTCAGGAGAAGCAAAGGAAATTCGTATCACCATTCGCCCTTGCACGTAAAGTTTTTATTTTTAATAAGCAAAAACGATATTTTAGTGATTCGGCTCATCACTTCACCATTGGAGATGCGGAAGCGAAGATTGCCAACGGAGAAAGTGACCGTCCTCTTCGACAATTTTATGAATTGCTTACCAACGAAGGAGCCCTCAAATAGTCAGTAACCTAATTTTTATTTAACTCGCTTTTTAGGGGAAGTTATGTCTTCTATGGGGCAGGGAAGGTGGCGGCCCTTGTATTGGATGCGAAGATTGGAACTTTTTACAAGGCGAACGGACTTGTTGAAACAATGTAAGAGACATTTGCTTGATCAATAATATCGATTTTCAGTGCTCAACTGAACAGATGGGAAGGCGTTCATCAAGTTCAATGGGATCCGGCTGCAATCAAAAGGACAAACACTTATTTGCGCGGTAAATATTTACCGCTATTTATTTAGATCATGTAATCCTAGGTCTACGTTTGGAGGTCGCCAATTCAAAGAACAGCTTTATTTGTGCCGGACTTGATTATCGTGACGATTGTGGTCGACTGAGCTTCAGGACGCTTTTTGATTGTGAGGAGGCAATGTCACCGCACGGCAGACGTCTAATTCCATCGATGGAAAAATATGAAAAACAGGGAATGCACATTCAGTAAGCTTTATTTATGCTTCAAAAATGTTTGTCTTTAGGTTTCCCAGGTGGCCTGTGGTGGTTCAACGCGGAAAAGGAAGAGGCAAGGATTCATTCTTCCCGATTGAAGTCCTACGAGTCGCACCAAATCAGCGTGTCCCATTGACGAAGTTCCTCTGCAATCCAGAGAAGGCCAGAAAACCCGATGATCGTTGGAATCTGATCAAAAACCATCTCGACGAGCTTGATCTTTCCAGGAACTCTCCAATTATGGCTGGGTAGGTTCCATCAAATATTTAGGTTGTCTAAAGTTACCTTTTAAGATTTGGCATCTCTGTTGATTCAAAGCCTTTCCAAGTTACTGGCTTCCGTCGACCTGCTCCGAAAGTTCAATCGGGCGAATCGAGATCTGTGCCTACAGATTTAAAGAAAGCTGGCTGGAAACAAGGAAAAGAAACTTACACTGAGGGCGCTGTTGTGGACAAGCTGTACGTTAAGTTACAATCAAAAACCGCTTTTCGCTCTGCATTTGCACAAGTGTATCTTTGCATTTTAGTTACATTGCATGGAATGAAAACCCACAAGTTCTACCACAAATTCAAGCGTTTGCCGAGCGTTTCAAGATCGAAACGGACCGCAAAGGAATAACAATTCGCTCACTTGAAGTCGAAAATGCGCCAACAAATCTTGACGATGAAGTTCGAACTGGAAATCTATTTGCCAAGGTCGTCTTAATTGAAAGTAGTGGCTTAATCATCTATTATTCAGGCAAAGAATCAACGCAAAATCCTCGGTGCAAGAGCTACGATCATGATCATCTACATTTCAAGTTTGTTGCTTCTTGCTTTAAACAAAAAATCTTTTAGACAAGTTCGTTGATCCTGCTGGCCGAATTCCAGAAACGAGGTCTCATGGGCTCCTGAAATTCTTGGAAGCGAAACATCAAATTGTAATGTCGTAAAATTGTAGCACACAACGTCTAATTTTAGGTGACGCAACATCTGGCAACGGAAAATATCCTCGGCAAAAAGCAATACGACAACTCAATTAAGCCGATAGATAATGCGACTATGGAGAACATTCCCAACAAGTTCAATTTGAAGGCATTTGGATTAAATTATACGATTGTGCCGGAATAGTTATACGAAAGACCTACTCCAACTTCCTTGAACCTTTCAAATAACCAGGCATGATGTCAAAAGAAGAAGCGCAAAGATTTTCATTGCTCGTTTTGTGATTTTGCTGGTTATTTGAAGACATTTTTAAGTTTTAAATGAATCTAAATGGAATTAATGAAATCAAATTCAGAAAACTATTTTAAAGATTTGAATGTAACTATTGTTCAATTTTAAAATGTCAACTCCATGAAAAATCACTTAAAAAATTAAGGGACTTTGTTTTAAGGCCGCATTTCTTTTTTCTTGCGTTACTTGGAATCTTTTTCATGTATTCCTTTATTCAAAAGATATCAAGCCGTTAAATGCACAACACAAACATCTCCACATCCAAGTAGACATGGCCGACTCCACGTCTTCACCTCAGTAATCATCCAATCACCAGATGCTCCATAGAGATAAGTGCACGTTTTGTGATTTGCTCCTTTTCGAAAAACAGTCACAATGTCGCCGCGTTCTTCCCAGTAATCACCATAAGCCCATAAATGCTCTGCTAGCGATTGGATCCCGTCATGTCGTTCTCGCCATTTCGAAGTGTCTTGAAAGTAACGACTAAAATAAAGTATTATCTCAATTCTGACTCTGACCAGTGATCGCCAGCTTAAGTTTTAAAGCAAAGGAATGTAAAGAAGTTTTCCTAACCCTTGTAAACAGGGCTGAAAAAAGCCGTCATGTGAGGGCCGATCCTGACCCTAGCGTACTTTTGATTTTATTTTTAAGTCAAAATTACATTTTTTATTTATAAGTATTCATAACTGTTCAAAAACCCCTTTAATTGAATTTTTGAAAAAGTATTTGGGTTTGCGAACCGACCTTCATTGTAACAAGCTAGCCCATATATTAGGCTGGCCAACAAGTAATGACGGATTGACTGACAGATGGCCCCAAACCAAATCGAGGTTAACGAGTTTGGTCTTATTCGAAAGCTGTATTCAATAGGAGCACAGTAGCGAAAACCATTTTTGGATTCGTTCGGTTTTAAAATTTTTATAAGCATTTAAGTGAGCTCGGTCAGACCGAAAAAAGTGTCAAAACCACATTTCGTCAATTTTTCGGTTAAAAACCTAGGCTAAAAATATGTTTGTTTCCGCGACACGATTTTCCCGAGTAGACACCCAAGCTTTGGATGCGTTTTTCCTGTGTGTTTTTGAATATGGACAAAAACTGAATACAGCATCGGAGCGCTTGGCGTTTGCATTTCAACAGCGTCAATATCTGCTAAGACCATTTTGTGGCATCTCCTTGCTTGGTCTTTTTGCAACAAAGTTCAAAATTTGGTCATAGCTAGGAGTCGAAGCCTCGACTCTCGCATCAACGAGTCGCCAAACCGCTCAGCTAAACTTAGTGATCCTGAAATGTGATTTTGACACTTTTTGGGTACCAAGCTGACTGAGTAACACTTAAATGCTTATAAAAATTTGAAAACAGAACGAATCAACAAATGTTCTTCGCTACTTTGTTCTTCTTGAATACAGCTTTCGAATAAGACCAAAGATTGGTCAAGTTTGAGACCAGCTCCCAGCAATTCCACCATTACTTATTAGCCAGCCTAATAAATCCTCGTCTGACCTGATTCCTTCTCTTGCATCAGGCTTTGATCTCTCTGGAAAGCCACCACGAAACACAAATATCACATAATTCTCAAATTCCAACACAGATTTATCGCCTTCAAAGCCAAAGAAACCCGTTCTCATGTAGTAGTTGTCCTCTGAGAAAGACCATCCTTCCCAAAAAGCATTCACATAGTCTGCCGGTACAACGGCGACTTGCTTCCTGATTCTGAAAATTACAGAAAACATTGCAAGTCAAAGTTTTATTCAGAAACTTTTCGCGGTTCCTTTCCGTTATACATTCACAAAAATAAACCCTGATTATTAATCAATGAGGAATGAATGAGGATCAATCCATGCCGTAGCAATTTGTTGCAACACCCATTCGTAGAAATCGTCCTTTCCCACTTCTCGTCGAACCATGGATTCAGCGAGGTAGTTCGGTAGGAAATGACGTGCCGCGATGCTTCTTGTTTCTCCATACTTGTTGTACTTATTGACACGAGCATGGGTAAAGCCGGCCTCCTCCATCTGTTCAGTATTCCATTCTCGCCAACAATGGGAGTCAATTTAGGTTCCCGGCTCGATGTGTTCAATCATCGCTTCCAATAGGGTCGGTCACCTTGACCAGAAAACATTCCTTGGTTTCCGGGCAAACTACTCTAAATATCCACACTTGCGGCCAGATTCGGCCAGATTCGCTTCGAGAAGAGAGCCTCGTCCACTTCGTCGATTCGATTAGGTTCTCCAATTTTTCCTCTCAGCTTGTTCACCAGATATTCCACGCAAAGAATCCTAGTTGTTGAAGTCGACCGCTGTTCTGTGATTCATCTCCAATTCTACAATAGTTGATCTAGGTTCACTGTTGAGTCCATCCATAATCGTAGGATTGTGAGAAACGGAATTTTGGTGCTCCGCATCCATCAGCCAACACGCAGGTCGATCGCTGTCCAGCAGGACGTTTTGTCGCATCTACATTGGAGACTCTGATTGAGCAATAGCTTCATAACGTGATCGAGGGAAATGATCGAGGGTTGATTTTTGCGGATGTATAACGGAAAAGAACCCTTTTCGCGTTGAAAGTGAGCTAAAACATACATATTATCGGTGTTAACTAAAAGTTTATAGATTTCCGAAGCCATTCGCTGCATTTTCTTTTGTTGTTCATACTGGGTGCTGCTCCATGTCCAATCCTTTTGATCCTCTCTAGCTCCGTGATGCTCGCCCATCCAATTTCGAATTCTTTCCTCTTCTTCGGACTTTAGGATCCAATCTGCCTAAAAGTTTCTTGTCCCTGCTGCCTCCCGTGGATTTACTAACAACTTTTTTTTCGCAATACCTTTAATTAAACGTAAAAACTCACCCGTGTGCCTGTGTAGCATCCAACATTGAGAACGACTTCACCTTTGTACATCCATTTACGCCGCGATCCACAAGTGATAGTTTTTGTGTCTGACGGAAAATCCATCTTGTGGTTGATCTGAAACACATTTTTGAGGATAAACTGAAAAAGAAACTCCCACTCGAACAAGCGCGAAATGGTCTGGATCAGCAGTGCACGTGAACGTTCGTTCGATCCAAAAATATTGACTGTAATTGAGTGATGAAGATAAAATGAGAAGAGTTGTCTCTAGCGACCAAAAAGCCTTGAGCCAAGGGCCGGACCATAGCTGCGGGCAAGCCTTGATCGAGTCCGAGCTCATCAAGGTTTTCACCGGGCGGAGCCCGGGAAAGTTTTCACGAAACACGCTTACTTAGACGTCTCATCGCTCGTAAGGTTTCTCCAGTTGCCCTCAGCCGAATGAATTTGAATGTTTTCACTCTGGTTCTTGCACTCTTCCATCCATTCTAAAAAACAGCCAGTAGACGAGTTGGGTAACAAAAAAAAAGAACAAAGTAATCGATCGAAACAAACGGACCTTCATTTGCTGTCACAATTTGTTTCAGTAAAGCCACAAACAAGAAAACGAATTCTTTCTTCATTTACAACTAAAAAGCAAATTTTAAAAATGTGAACTGTAAAAAGAGAAAGTTTAGTATAAAAACGAGAAGTTGTTCAAATAAATATCAAGACTTTGGAATTTGATTTGACGACTTCATTTTCTCATCAAATTTCTATTTTCTGATTTGAAGGTCTATGTTGTGACAATGATTCGATTCAAAAAGCATTTTTTTGATAGAATCATACATTTTTTCCTTTTTTCCTAATAATATTTGACTCGAAATAATTTAATGGAAAAACGAGAAGAAACATTTTAGCGCTTTTACGACAAACTGTATCTGAGTTGCCATATTAAATATAAATGCTTTATTCAAAAATACAGTCATGGACAAAAGTCTTTTAACATTGGTTTTTAGAAGTTTGTTCTTTGTATATCTTGGTCCAAATCTGAGCAATTTGCAAACGGTTAAAAGATTTAAAGAGCTTATTATCTCTAATTTTAACATTACAAAAAGATGGATTTAACAATTTATCAGGTGTCATAAACTTTTTAATAAAACAAAAATTGGGCCAAAATTTGATGGACAAAAGTCTTTTAACATGTGAGAAAAACATTATGAAATCAATACTTAGTAGGTCCTCTGCGAGCCGCAATTATTGCTTGAATTCTCCTTGGCATGCTGTGAACCAGATCACGTAGAATTTGGGGTCCAAAAGTTGTCCTGAGTATAAGCATATTTGTATAAGCATAAGCTTTCAGCCTGAATGATCTCCTTATCCCAATGTAATCGAATGCACTTTAAGCCCCGCCTTTCCCTTTTTTTCGAATCCCTTTCGCCTTTCATTTCTCTCACTGAACTTTACGATCTTTAAAAATCACCAATTGGAAAAAACGAGTTCAATTAGATTAATGAACTGGGAAATGGGAAAATTGAAGAATTAGATTAGACTAGAGAACTCATTGAACTAGGATCTAGGAACTAGGAACTTGAACAGGCTGAAAGGGATTGGATTGAAAGGGATTCGAAATTTCGATTCTCAAAATCAATTTGAATCTTTTTAAATATAGATTTTTCTTTCATCTTCATTTTAAAACTTTATCTTCTTTCAAAAGTTTTGATTTTTGATTTGATTTGAATTCGAATTTTCTCTTGCAACACGTCTAAAACCTTTGCCTCTCTTGCATCATCTTCAACTCCTTTTAAAACTTCAAAATTTATATTTACAATGAAAATTGATCTTCTAGTGAATGTTGGACACATTGATATTTCTATTATTGATTGCTTTGTTGATTCTCAATTTGATGAGAAAGCTGAAAATCGAGTACGAAATGTTGGAGAGAGATCCGAATCGACAATGGAGGAGACAAGGTGAGTGGAAAGATAAGAAAGATAAGAAAGATAAGAAAGACAAGAAAGGGGGGTGGGACAAATGCGACCTTTTTTTTGCGCACCTGGACATTTGCGCAC